TAACTAAATGGAGGATGTTTTGTCCTTTATGAAATAAAACCTAAAATAGAACATACCAGCAAATATCACATCCGGAACAAGAATAATTTTTGCTCAGTTCAGCTAGACCTAAATCTTTCCTATATACTTCTCTCCATTGTTATATCTACTCCTTTGTTGCATTTCAGTTGTTTTTGAAAAATATTTTAAGTGAAATTCAAGCTAAAAACACACAATTAAACATTAAACATCCCTTCCTGAATCTCTTAAAATTGGCTTTTTTCTTAGTTCAATCGTTAATGTACCTATCTAATTACACTACTCGGAATAATAGGGCGTAGAGTGTAGCATGTTTGCTCTACTGCTTGTTTAGAGTTATCAATTATTCATGTTTCTCTTCCTGTGTCCATCAGATGCTGTTGCAGCAAAGGTCTGGCCACTATGCAATCCTCCCCTCCCTGGAGAGTGATTACCATGTACCCTGCAGCCCATTTTGCTTGGGTTATGGCATAGTGTTATCTACAGCAAGGAAGAAGTTCATTCTTTTGTTGTAGGGACTTCATGTGATTGCCAATCAGTTATGTTAAGATGCACGATGATGTCGTGCAGGGACAATAATTTTATTTTGCAGTGATTATCACAACTGCAGGTACAGAGGTCCCTAGGAAGATTTTATATCTTTTTACATGCCATTATAATAGCACACAAGGTTGAAATAATGGCTGAACACAGAAGCAATTATTCTTGGCGTATCTTATTTAAAAATCAAAAGCAGGACTGGATGCTTACTAAGACAAAATAGAGGCTTAGATTTTTTTTTTCTTGCAATAAGCCAAACCTTTGCAAATATGTATGTTTCCTCATTTTAGCACATTGTTTGAATCACAGATCTCAAAAATAGCTCAATTTTGAAATATTTTTGGATATATGTCATATCACTAAATGTTTTTTATGCACCCGGAAGATGTGTAAGACTCTTTCAGGTACCGTATTTACACAAAGTCATGTAAAATAGAGGAAATATTGTCATCATTTAATATTTATAAAGAATGCATTGTGCTCCTATGAGCAACGGTGTAGCTTGGCCTCTTACATGTTTAGTGGCAAACTGGTTGCCACACTAACCACTATTACTAATGTAAACTATTAATTTTGTATTGGTCAGACATTGCTCTGATTGCGTCATGTGGATTTTCTCATTCTATTCTAGGACTATAAATAGTGAAGTAGTACAGTTACCCTCATTCTATAGATGTGAATGCTGAGTCACACATGGGTTAAATAATATATTCAGGAAACTCAGAGAGTCATAGCTTAACTGGGATCCAAACACAGTTCTGGGTCTGGAACCGAAACCCTTGGCCATGATGTGTGTTAAACCCTCTCTCAATGACACAATATGCTATCATATGAAAAAGATACCTACTGTCACTGTGTGGCTAAATGTTTTCCTATCTTCACTTCTCGTCTCAATTTTTGCCTTCTGCACAAACTCTGTTGTGGATGTCAATGAATTGCATTAGAACTCCATATTCTTTGTCCCCATATTTCTTATCCTGGAAGACTTCCTATGGAGGACATTGAAACTGTCTTTCCATTTAAAGAAAAAAAGCTACTAGTAGCTTCAACTTATTTAGATCTGTACTGAACTTACTTCCTTAAAGGTTATTCACACAGAAACAAAATACATGCAAACATGACTTCATTTTGTTAATGATTTTTATTTTTACATTCTATTACAATGTGTACATCTCCAGTATAACTACAATATAATTTATGACAAACTCAAACATTCTGAGCATTCACAGATGTAAGAAAATTTACAGAGTTCTATGTAAACAGCATTATTATATGCATGGCTATTCATTTATTTTTATGAAGCAATTCTTGATTCTTTTCCTCAAGAATATTACATCATAACCACAGATACTTAAAAAACTGTGTAGTCTCTATACATAGGTCCTAAACCCAGGCCAATTACTTGGCCATTCTAATTTAGCTGGCCTTCCTTTCATTACTCCCAGTAACATTTCTCCAAAATTCCTATTTAAAACTGCTTTATTTACATGTGCATTTTATCTTAAATCTTTTTAATAAAGCTATCAAAAATCTATAAAATCATGCTGAACATTTTGGGTTGAGGTTTTCAACAATCAGCATTTAGAAACAGCCCACAAGTCCCTTAATGTCTTTTGCAAACTATGTAACAGTCAAAAAAGCAAAATGAGATTCTTCCACTTTTCTCCAAATTGCATGTATGCATTTATGTGTGTCCAGATCTTTGCTTCCATTTGTGTTTGCTTCCATTTTATTCTAACTTAAAATTTACACTGTAACTGCCATTCTAGATCATTAGGTGAAATGAATCCAAGGATTATATAATTTAAATATTAGCATGACAGTGCCTTCTGGAGGCATCTCATTATCTGTACCAAACAGTAACCTACATGAAAAGCAAAGTCTAATTTTACTTCAAGCTTACACAGTACTAAATAAGCTCTCAATTCCATATATTGTTTTTAATTGATAAAAAGTCACAACTAGACCTCCCTGGGAAAACATATATATACAAAACCTAACTATGTTATATTAAAAAAAAGTATTGTTCAGCATGAAATTGGTTCGGCATGAAATAGGAGAAAAGAGCAAATTTGTAAAAATTTTTTTTTGAAATGGTAAGAAGAAACTGTTGAGGAACCAGTTGCCAGTATTTTTTATTTTACATAAAAAGGAGGTAATGTAAAAATGTTACTAGTAAATCACACATAAACCTGTCCATCATACATCTTTTCATAATATATAAATATGCAAAATGCAGTTATATTTATATGGGTTTAAAATAATGAGGATAGACTGAATTTAAATCTAAGGTGATATTAATTTCTTAATTTAATGTATTAAAAATATTACAAAAGTAATATATTTTGAATGGTTCCTTAATTGCCAAAACCTATTTTCAACAGGCTTAGCAGGTATGCAAAGCAATGCTCTACATAGCCTAGGAAAACACTGCATGGTATCTTTCTTATTAAATAAAAAAGAGGCTCAAATAACCTAAGATGAATAATTGAGTGTAGGTGCAAAGAATCTTTGGCCCTAGATTTAATTTCATATGTATCTTAGGACAAACGTCTAGAAGTGATCATCTCCCTCACAGATGTTGTAAAATATGTCACAATTTAAAAACTTTGCAGATACAAAGTTCCATGGATATGTCTCTGTTTTTGTCTGTTGATCTCATATCTGTGTTTCTTAGTCCATCCCTCTTTCTGCCTGTCATTCTCTACCCATACTCTTCATTTCTGTAGGTATTTTTAAATCTCCTTTATTTTTAACTAGCCAGAATAACAAAAACTATGTATTTATTATAGACATATAATTTATGTTCTTTTTTAATTTAGAAAAGCAAATGAATAATATATATACTTGCTTTGAAAACTCCTACAAAATCTTCTAAATAAAATTACTCTCTACTTATGTAACTCAATTTTTGCCTATGCATAAGTAACTTGATAGAAGAAAGAGCTCATATTCCTGAAATAAACTCATGAAAGAATGCATCATGGCCATTTCTTTTCAAGCCATCATCAACGAGGACTTTTTAAAACTAGATTTATAATCCTTGGTAGGTGGACAGCCCCTAAAAGAAAATGAGTGTGTGCTTGGTAAACTATCAGCTCAGGGACCTTATTGATTGATATCAACTATGCCTCAGAGTTTTAGAAATTAAAGGAGAAAGTGACATTGTCTTTATTTTTATAGATGAAAGAGAAAGGTCCAAAAGGACTAATAGCACAATTAGGATAGTACATTAGAGGCAAGAAAGCAGGGTGGCAAGAATCCCGGTTGGATGATCTTTCACTCATACTAAACACGGGTCTCTGTTGAAAGGCTGACATGTATCGCGACTTGAGAGTTTGCCACACACGTTGAGGATGGCAAGCAGGCGAGGCAGTGCAGGCTTTGCTCAAGCCTTTAGCTGCTCCAACATGAACCACAGTATCAAACAGATAGCTGCACGTCAGGAAGCACTTCACTGAAGGAAAATATTAACTTCACTTTGTGCTAAAGAATGATTAGACAATACTGCCCGAGAAAGCAGAAATTTGTGACCAAACAGATGAAGAGTTGGGTCATTATTGGTGTTTAAGGGGCAGCACAGTAACGTGTTAGACTGTATAAATAAAAGTGAATAAAGCTTTCTTCTGTTCCTTCTTTTCTTAAGCATCTTCAGTTTTTTTTCTTCTTTTGAGGAATGTGATATGTACTTAAAATAATTTTTCATGTTGTATGGTTATCGTATGAACCAAGAAGTATATTTTAAAAGGCAGACTATGAAGCACAATACTCTAAAAGGTAAGCTTATCTTGGTTGGTCTATGAGTCAAGATGAATGAAAAATATTTGTCGAAATGAAGAGCCTACATGTGTTTTTAATCCCATGGCATTGTATAGGCACATAAAAATTGGTTCTGATGCAGTATGGAATAAATGTAAGCACCTCAAAAATAGACAATGACCTCTGTACATGGAAAAGAGTCTTGCTCCCTAATAACAGATGTGTTATTTGTTACTAATGGCCATTCCTTCTATCAGGACATTTGATTTGCAAAGCCAAGGTAAAACACTTTTACAGATATCCAAATGATAGATGCGTGTGTGTTTGTATTTGCATGGGAAACAGGAAGGTTTACAACCCTGTGAAGAGATGACAAGGCAGAGGTGAACATTTTCCACATGGTCTTCTGATTTATTAAAAGCAAATAAAATTAAACCAGCTTTGTTTGCTGTAATCGAGAATCCCTGCAGAGTACTCTCACAATTCTTACATAATCATTTACCAATGCAAATGTAGCCATCTGCTAATCCTGTTCACCTATTTTAGGGAATCAGAGCGAGTCAACCACACTGACTCTGAGAATATTTCAATAAAAAGTTTTGGCATAGACTTCCTTAAAAGAGTCTTATTAACACAAATATATCACCTTCAGAGGCTGTAAACAATATATCAAAAATGAAGCTCTACTTTTTGCTTTCCTTGCCGTCTTTCCCTTTGTCTTCCTTTTCTGCTTTGTCCGTTTCGTATTTCTCTTTGTCTGGCTTTGTTACACTGTCATATGAAGGTGGAGAGACGGTGGATGGGGTTGCATCTGTTTTTTCTGGACTTGAGTTCTCATTAGTGTTGTCAAACACCATATCTTCTTTACTGGGCAAACCATCATCTCGGTCTCCATCTTTTATGTATATACTTGATATATTTTTGACATTTTGCCGTAAGCGGTAACGTCTGTAAGCACGCTGAATGACAGTAGCAGACACATCCTCTTGTTTTCGTTTTAGTGTAGTTGTTATGGGTTCATAGGACACTTTAGAAGGATTTGCTGACATGAACCTTTCCTCCATCTGTGAACGTAGAGAGTCCATCTCTCCGCTTTCACCCAAAACACGCTTTGTAAAGGCAAATAAAATGTCGAGGCAATGGATCCGGTCCCCACTGACCATGGGCAGGTCCATGGCGATGAGCTGGACTTTGTTTGGTTTGGCTATGAGAAGAGGAGGATCCAGGGCAGCTGCAAAATCGGAGAGCTTGCTATACTCTATAAACTGGGTGGCATCAGGATCAAACTTCTCCCAAACCTCATAGAACATCTCGAAGTCATCCTCACTCAGGGGTTCAGTACTTTCCTCAGTAGCAACACTGAAGTTCTCCAGGATGACAGCGATGTACATGTTCACCACAACCAGAAATGATATGATGATGTAACTCACAAAATAAAATATCCCAACTGATGGGTTCCCGCAGTCTCCTTCAACTGAACTTCCGGGATGAACTTTCTTTGGATCACAGTCAGGGGGTGCACTGTTGAGAATAGGTGCCAGCAGTCCGTCCCAGCCAGCGGAGGTGGTAATTTGGAACAGGCAGATCATGCTGTTGCCAAAGGTCTCAAAGTTGAACATGTCATTGATTCCAGCTTCCTTTTTAACATAGGCAAAGTTGGACATTCCAAAGATGGCGTAGATGAACATGACCAGGAAGAGCAGGAGGCCGATGTTAAACAAGGCAGGAAGGGACATCATCAGAGCAAAGAGCAGCGTGCGGATCCCCTTGGCCCCTTTGATCAGACGCAAGATTCGACCAATCCTGGCGAGCCGGATCACTCGGAACAGGGTAGGGGACACAAAGTATTTTTCTATGAGCTCAGCCAGAAACATACCTGGTGAGGAGGGAGGGGATGGTACAGAAAAATCATGACTTTTAAGTAATGTTATCTGCCATCTTCTCTCTCACGATTTCAGGACTATCATTTTATATTGAAAGCAGTTTCATAATAATCAACAGATTGAGCAATCCCAAAGGAAAATGATTGATATTACCACTGTGACATTTTCTCTCCCTTTACTAAGTTTGCGGACATTGTTTTTTTTTTCCCCCTCCATAATAATTTTTGATTATAGGGGTGATACCTACTCATGCAGAAAATTCAAGCAATACAGTAAAATGCTTAAAGGGAAATCTAAATCACCTGAAATACCATCAATTATAATAACTGTTACTATTTTGTTGAGTTATCACTTTAGACACTTTTCTGTGCAAGCCCAGGCACACATTGCCCCATGAATGTAATTATGTTACCTGAGCATTTTTTATGATCTATTTGAGTCACTTCATCATGTCATGGAAACATTTCCAGTCAAATGGCAACGAAGTAATTATAGTTTCATAATGTTCTGTCCAAATAACCGCATACTGAAGAATTTTATGTTGTTTTCAATTTTTTTGGCTGAGAAAAGTATTCAGGTAGGTATATTTTTTCTAGTTACCTAAGCATCATTTGATAATATATTAATAAAAAATCAGTGTATTCAAAGTTTTCTTACAGATCACCAAACCTGTGTCGAGAAAGTCTGTGCAGTTCTTCATAGTGACGTATGAAAATGCTTGCGTGGTTCCACATACTCAGCCAGTATTGTGGTTCTAATTTTTACCAGAAAATCTTTATGATATTTCAAAACATCTCTTTATAAATTTTTTTGTTGGGAAAAAAATCCACAATTTTTCTTGTTAATTGGACATTTTGTGTGCTTGTTGGCTATTTTCAACTTTCTCTTTTCAGCCATGTCAAGTCCTTTGCCCATTTTTCTAATGAGAGATTTACTGTTTTCTTACTGATTTCGGAGGACTATTTCTCCACCGAAAGTGCTTATCCTTTGTTGGTCTTACATGTTACATACAACTTTTCCCTGTGTTTTGTCTTTCAATCTTTTTGCTTGGGGAGAGGTTGTAGTGAGATTTTCCCATAGAATATTTTGATTTTTATATAATCTTGTTATTTTTTTCTTCATAGACTCAAATTTGTGTCATAAATAGGAAAGACTGTTCAGGTTGATTGTCCTAAATCTATTTCTTCTTGAATCCTTTTTTTTTACACTTTAATTTTTGATTCATGTGATCTTCCTACTGAATAAATTAGTAATTATCTATATAGTGAAGTTAAATTTTGAATTATCTATGTGAATCTACTGAGCTTTTTAAGACACTGTGTTACTTCATCAATGTTATGGTGGTCTAAGTATCCAGCAATGTAAGCAACCACTCATTACTTTAATTTTTCTTCTAGATAAATTTTAGAATCATTCAGACTTATATTGCCAATATATTATTTCCACCAGGCAAAAAGACCTATTGATATTCTCACTGAGAAAGCACTGCATTTACAAATTAATTTATTTCAAAAAGGGTCATGATTATCGTGATAGCCTTCTTAACCAAGTATAATAAAAGCCTTTCAATTATTTAAGGCTTCTTTTATGCCTGTTAGCTTTCCTCAAAGAAGTCCTATGCATTTATTAAAGTTGTTGCTGGGATATTTTACTTTATTTTTATTGTAAATGCAAGTGAGATTTTTCTTTAGGTATACTTTCTAAATTTTTTGTCCACATATAAAACATTTATGAATATCAATACATGTGATTTAAAGTTTGTACTTTCTGAATTCTAATTGAATCCATTTTTTTTTGGTTGATTCTCTTTCAGTTTTAAAGAATGCCATAATATAATCTGAAGATGAAGATCATTTGCTCCATGTACCCCTCTGTTTTCATATCTAATTGCATCAGCCAACACTGTTAAAAATAGAGGTCATAGAGGAACACTCTTTTTTTCTTCCCAACTTGATGATTTCCAAATAGTTTCCACTATTTTGCTTATTACTCTGAGATTCCTACCTAAATTTTATTTATTTTTTAAAGATTTTATTTATTTATTTGACAGAGAGGAGGCAGTGAGAACAGGAACACAAGCAGGGGACTGGGAGAGGGAGAAGAAGGCTTCCCGCCAAGCAGGGAGCCCAATGTGGATTCAATCCCAGGACCCTGGGGTCATGACCTGAGCTAAAGGCAGACGCTTAATGACTGAGTCACCCAGGTACCCTCCAACTTAAATTTTAATTTGTTTTCTGATATCTTAATATTTTCTTAATACTCTTTTTTCAAAAATTGATTTTGAATGTGTCTTTTAAGTGACATGGTACTCAATATTGAGATGTTAGGTTATGTGACCTTTAACCTTTCTGGGCCTGCCTGTTTCATCATCTGTAAGTTGAATGTGTATTAAACACTCTCCAAAATCTCTTTCTGTCTAAAATTTGCAATTCTAAAAATAAATGCAACCCTAAAATATTGGGCAAAGCATGTGTAGATATTGAGAAAACAAGAGGACAGAAAAACAGCTATGGTAATGAAAGGTGAAGAATTATAAGATCATGTACTGTGACTGGGGTTGGTTGAGAAATGATTCTATTTTATAGACTTGTCAAGTAATGAGGCCATAAGAAATGAAAATGCCATTTCTTGAGATCTTCCCTTCATTTTGAGTTCAGAAAGAATTTTCACAGAGAGAGATATTCTGGTTATTAATGATCATTAATCAAGGGACAGTTCTCATGATGTGCTAAAACTTGAGGTGATTTCAGATTCTCCATTGGTCTTCCTACATACATATAGGTATTTCTACTACTTACCTATATAGACACAATTGCTGCTTCTGTGAGGGTAATCTTGGAAATCAACTATCAAGGAGTATTACACGCTTCTAACAAACAGAATAGTTTTGGCTTTGAGACCTGGAGTATGAACCCAGTAATCCTGACACAGAGGTCTTTGTTTTATTTAGTTTTGTCTTTAAGGCTCCTTCATTCTTTCATTTTACGTATGTACTCAAAAGTAAATTTATATTCAAGAATTCATAAGCTTCTCTGAGCAAATGTGAAGTTTAGTTTAATTCAAAATGCTCTTACCTACAATGGAGAGAATCACAACCACAAAGTCAAAAATGTTCCATCCTATAGTGAAGTAGTAGTGTCTGAGGGAGATCAGTTTCAGCACACATTCTCCAGTGAAAAGGATAATAAAAACCACATTTATCCAATATAAAACATCAGTCATGTAATCACTTTGTCCCTCTTTTTCTACCATCATGGTCACCATGTTGAGGCAGATAAGAACCATGATGGTGATATCAAAAGCTTGGTTTGTTACTAGGTCAAATATACATCCTTGGAATTTGTTCTGTAAAGAAACAAGAATAATATGTAATGTAGAGTAGGTTTTGCAATGATTATACATTAATCATTACATTACTAAAAAGTATTTTAGAAAGGTATGTCTTCAAAAGTTGCATAAATTATACTTGGTCATAGATTCTTGATTTTTAGAAGAAATATTATTAGTGAGTTAAATCTAACTCAAAGCACATGAAAACTTTTTGTTGTTGTTGTTGACTTCTGGTACATATCAGACCCGCCAGATTTCAGTTGGTCGTGTGTACTAACATTTGCTTTTAAACGCACCCACCCTAGTATATTATACATGAATTGTCACGGTCACAGGTAATTTTTTACTAAGAAAACCTCAACTCCTCCACCTGGAGTTTTCAATAAAAGAACAGGTCTCTAAATTTCTACTTTGTCATATTATTTTAGCTAATGTGTTATATGATCTTGCACTATTATGACTGTCATGGTATGAGACTTAAAATTTCCTATCTCTTTCATGTACAGAGTGCATATTTCCACACATATCCACACTTGTAGATCACTCCTCCTTTTAATCTCACTGCTAATATTATGCTTTCCAGGAAACACAAGCTTTTTCAAAATCCTTTTAACAATTGCATAGGAAAGTTTTAAGGTATTTTACCAAGATCAAGTAGGGCAAGCAAAAAATTAAATACCAGGGCTTCAAATCCATAGATTATAATGCAGTAGATCTGGTTGAGACCCGGCAATGTGTCCATTTAAAAAATGCCAGGTGAGGGGCGCCTGGGTGGCTCAGTTGGTTGAGCAACTGCCTTTGTCTCGGGTCATGATTCTGGAGTCCCAGGATCGAGTCCCGCATCGGGCTCCCAGCTCTGTGGGGAGTCTGCTTCTCCCTCTGACCTTCTCACCTCTCATGCTCTCTCTCACTGTCTCTCTCTCAAATAAATGAATAAAATCTTTAAAAAAAAAAATGCCAGGTGATCCTTATATAGCCAGCTGGGCATTAACTGGCTTAGTCTTCAGCCATGACTCTCAGGTAAGGTATGTCATGTTGAATATAAATTGAAACGCATATAATGTGTTTAAACTTACCCCTCGGGATGTTAGAGGAATACAAACTATCATTTTACTGCCAAGACTCAATATTTCCATCTGAGCCTGTTCTGGTCTTTAACCACACAGTAGAAAAAAAGTTTAGATTCATGATCAGTCCAACTGCTTCTCTTGCTGTTTGTCACAATCAAAAATCTGCAAGTTAGTTTACCCTACTGCTAGGTGGCAATCATTACATCATAAAATCCTCAGTTTTTAAAAAATTTTTAAAAGATTTTATTTATTTATTTGACAGAGAGAGAGATCACAAGTAGGCATAGAGGCAGGCAGAGAGAGAGGGGAAGTAGGCTTCCCGCCAAGCAGAGAGCTCAATGTGGGGCTCGATCCCAGGATCCTGAGAACATGACCCAAGCTGAGGGCAGAGGCTTAACCCAGTGAGCTACCCAGGTGCTCCCAAATTGTCATTTAGATAAATACATTTCAATCAAAAGTAAATTTTATTTGTATCTTCTACAGGCCATTGTACTCATATTAAGCTGTGTAGCTAATAGAGAAGTAAAACCATATATAATTACTTTTCATTTTCACAGAAAAATTAAAAATAAGAATAAGATCTATGGTAATGTTCAAGATACATATATTTAGTTTTATAAGGGCTTTTGTTCAAATATTCACATTCATGTTTAAGAACAAATTATACATTAAAGATGAATTAAAAATAATTTGAAAATTTATATGCCAAAGATATATATGTATACATATACAGTTGATCCTTGAACAACACAGGTTTGAACTGCATGGGTCCACTAAAACATGATTTTTTTAGATAAATACTGCATAGTACTAGAAATGTATTTCCTCTTCTTTATGATTCTCTTAACATTTTCTTTTCTCTAGCTTACCTTATGTAAGAATATATGTATGTACATACATAAGTATATAATATATAAACTATGTGTTCATCAACTGTTCAGTTTATCAGTAAGATTTCTGGTGAACAGTAGGCTATTAGTAGTTAAGATTTGGGGAAATCAAGAGTTAAGACACAGATTTTCAACTCTGTAGAGGGTTGCTGCCCCTACTCCCTGTGTTATTTAAGGACAACTCGTTTTATTTTGTTTTGCTTACCCCTGGCCGAGGTATTGGCTTCTGTGGTTTCTTAGAGCCCAGCTTTTTCATTGCATTATAATATTTCTTCTGTTCTTCTGTCATGAAGATGTCTTGACCCCCAAGGTAAAGAAATAAAAAATAAACCTAGTTAAAACCGTAATCATTATCTAGATCCTTTCTCAGATCATTAAGACAGGTTAAAAATATGTGGATAGAAATAAAATGCATTTTATTACATGCCACATAGCTATAAATATGTCTTAAATAATTATTTATATATAGGCCCGTGACTCTCCATAAATAACGTGATGTGTACATGTAAGATACATATATTGCCCTATAATAATTATTGCCTCAATTTTCTTTTGGTGAGATAATCTGAATTATTTTAAACTATGTGCTGATATTTCATTTTATCTGTTACTAGTCTCATCAGGCATTTTATTGCTAGATAACCAATATATTAGGAAGGGTTATAAGAAATAAGAAACTGAATACCTTTTTGGATGATTTGGCTAACATTTGGGACTCTAATGAATAGTAGGGGCCAAAACAATAGCAAAAGTAGTTTTATATTTATTTGTATTCATTTACAAATGCCATATTCCTTTAGCACAGAAAAAGAATAAAGAGGAGTGCCCTCTTATCCATGGTATCCCTTCCCATGGTTTCTGTTAACCACAGTCAACTGTGGTCTGGAAGCAGGTGACCCTCCTTCCTGCATACCGTCAGAAGGTCAATAGTAGCCCAAGCTACATCACAAGGCTGTTGTTATTCACCTCATGTCATCTCATCAGGTAGGCATTTTATCATCTCACATCATCACAGGAAGGGTAGGTACAGCACAATAAGATATTTTGAGGGAGGCCATATTCACATAACTTGTATTATAGTAAATGTTCTATTTTATTATTAGTTATTTTTGTTAATCTTTGACTGTGCCTAATTTATTTATTTATTTTTTAAAAGATTTTATTTATTTATTTGACAGACAGAGATCACAAGTAGGCAGAGAGGCAGGTAGAGAGAGGGGGAAGCAGGCTCCCCTGCTGAGCAGAGAGCCCGATGCGGGGCTCAATCCCAGGACCCTGGGATCATGACCTGAGCCAAAGGCAGAGGCTTTAACCCACTGAGCCACCCAGGCACCCCTGACTGTGCCTAATTTATAAATTAAACTTTACCACAGGTATGTATGTAGGAGCAGAAACATGTTTGCTTGTTTGTTTGTTTAAGGTTTGGTACTATCTGTAATTTAAGGCATCCACTGGGGGTGTTGGAACATCCCCTGTAGATAAGGGTTGGGGGAGACTACAAGGAACATGTCCTACATATATCTGTGTGTTTCAAGAAACTGGTTCGTTAATTTTTTCATTCCAGTAAAGGAATTTCAACATAAACCTTATGGGTGTCAACAGTATACACAATAGCATTCTAGGTGTTGAGGAAATTACCAAAGATCTAGGATCCTTGACCGGAAGGACTTCTTAATTAAATAGACAACCCTAAGTCTCAACAGTAAAAATAATTAACATCTACATGAAATTTTTTGATCTTTTCAACACTGTAAGAGTCTAAATCTCACAAAGGATGCCTAGAAACTTTACCTGCTCTTTTAGGGTAAGCAAATTTTCTTAAAATTATCCAATTTTTACATATCCACATATTTTCTACATTGATGTGTAATATCAACTTTTTAGTTAGGGAATAAATTAGTATAATCCATGTAATTAGGAATTTATTTTGGGGAATTCATAGTTCTCAAATCCTTACTTAGTTTGTAGGGTCCTGGAGTTAAAATGATCTGGTTATGGTTTCCCTTTAGTTTTCCTGGATTAGGCAATATTCAGTTTTCTATTATATTGCATTTTTTATAAAAAATTTATAAAATGGTAAATGGTAACCAGACTTCCCTTTCTTTCTTAATGTGTTTTAATTTACTTTTATTCTAGTTGATATACAGTCTTTGGTATTTATCTTACATACTGATGCTAAGCATCAGGGAGAGCCTTCAGGCCAGTGTTAAGAGAGCTACTCATGGGTGAAGGCTGAGTACTCCAGCATGTCAGAACTTACCAGAAGAAGCCAGGAAAACACTGGGAAGAGAACTATGAAATCGAGGTAAAAATCAAAGCAGCAAATTTTAACTTCTCTTAATGAACCTTAGTTGCCAAAATAATAAAAGGTGGGATGAAACTAGGAGGAGATTACAGGATGCTCCAAGAGAGGCTTGTGTTGTTTGGATTAGTTTTACTGTAGATTGAGAGCTCTCATACAAAATGCATCCCTTTAAAAGCTAGATGAAAGATGCTCTATAAATCATGCTGGTCTTTTTCAATATTACACACTACGTCAAGGCTGTGTTAAGAATTTAGTTCTGGTGTCAGATCATCTTTCTTCAAATCCTGTCTCTGTTGTCCTTGGGCAAGTTTCTTAATGTCTTTGAGGATAAGTCATGTTATCATTACAAGAGTAGCTATACCTTGATGGTTTGTTGGGAGGATCAACTGAGATAACACATTCAAAACACTCAGCAGAATGCCAGATACACAAGCCCTCAATAACTGTTAGTTGCTGTTACTGCCATTGTTATTAATCTTCTTAACAAGGTTATAGTTACTGAAAGGGGGTGCTTTACTTAGAATTTACCCAAATGCACCCAGGTCTGTACTAGGTCTTTGTGTAAATATACTACATACTTATCACATACTTATCCCTTTTATAACTTGAGTCTATTAGTAGTTTGTGTTCTAATTTTCTGAACTATGTTCTCTGATGAATTAAACCCTAAATGACATGAACTTATTAAATGAAGACATTACTTGTAAAAGTGATGGTTATTTGGAAAAACTAGTAAAGTGGGGTTGGTTATTAGAAGAGGCATGGGTAGTTGGTAAAGTCATGAGCTGAGACCAAAGTCCCGAAGTCGAAAAGCCTTAAGCAGCAAAAATACACTAGGAAAAGAACATGGGCGTTGAAGCCAAACAGACCTTTGGCTTATGACCTTCAGTGGACCTGTCACATGATTTTAAACAAGCTATTTCTCACTGCTAGACCAGTGTATGCACTTTTGCATAAAGATGCCACTTTTGTAAGCCTGTGATATGGATTAGATGAAATCATATATAATATACAAAGTATCTGGCAGAAAGACCCCTGTGCAGTAGTTTGATTAAGTCTTGGTCCTGTCTCTTAGTAGGGTGGAAAGAAACCAGAAGCCATTCAGAAAAGGTCAGAAAATAAAAGGTATGCTTAAATTGAAAATGAAATACTGGAAGGAAGGTAGGGGATGGGATAGTGGTAGTTGTCAGTGCTTCTAAATTAGTAACTTTTGCCTGAGAGTAATGGTAATAGTGTGTCAACCCACCCTATCTTCCTCCAGTGGCAATTCTTGTTGCAAGAATAATATTTAAAGCAAGGAGATTAAAGCAATTAAAGTTGTGGCTGTACTGTTCATGGTCACATGGCTTTATCTAGATACATGTCTAACTTATCCTATGCAGAGAATACTGAGGCATCATATTTACATGCTTATATATCATATTACACATCTGTAATGACTAAAATTGAAAAAATAATTAAATTGAAAATTAGAGTATACTTTGTAAAATTATTTTCAAGATTAACTATGAATTTTTAAAGATTCTTTTTTGAAAGGCATGAATGTATGATAATGTTACCTAAGTGCAACTCTAAGATATTAGATGTAAGAATGGAAGATAGAATTTTAAAATATCTTTGAAAAAAAACCCTGTATTTGAAAATGTAAGCATAAATAACATTTAACATTTACTAAATTTTTCTTCAAATTGTGAATATCAATCATGTACAATGGTGACATTTCAGACATTTCACTGCATGTACCTCCATCTTTTCTGAGATGCTAAGTCAATATCTAAAATCACTCTTTGAATTCTACCCCTTATCTTTGAAAGATATCTCTATAGCCACAGTACATCAGTCAACTTTGACAGGAAAACTGAGACTTCTTAGATGCTTTATCTCTTACAAATTACAGACCGTACTGTAGCTACTACCCCCTAAAATCTCTTCATTGAATATATGCCATATTCTCCGTTGCTGATGACTAATTTGAAGACACAAGCGTGGTTGAGGTAGTGGGTAATGCAGAGTCTGACCTAGTCTTTGGTCTCTCTCCAATCATTCTATACATTATTACTGGATTAATTTTTTCTTTCTATTTACTTTTATTTTTTATAATTTATTTTTTTATTATTATGTTCAATTAGCCAGCATATAGTACATCATTAGTTTTTGATGTAGTGTTAAGTGATTCATTAGTTGCATAAAACACCATTTTTAAAATCATAACCTAGTTTTCAGGGTCCCTGGAAGACAAGACTCCAGTTGGATCTGTGATAAAGCTACTTCCTCGCTGTCAGATGACATGCAAGTAACACAACATCTCTGATAGTTGGGCGGGGGGCCGGAGGGGAGGATACAATGGCTTTTAGATTTGTTGTAAAACCTGACTAGGATTACGTGTGTGGAGTACTTTACATAGAATCAGACGCATCATCAAATCTTAACAAACGCCAATGTCCTGATTATATGTGTTCCCTTACTCAAAATACCTCAATGACACACCAGCTCCTCCTGAAAAAGATCTAATATGGCTTTTCAGATCTGCTCTCAAGCAAGATCTCATCTTTTTCTACTTTTCTCAAAACGCCATTGTTACTAGAGGGGAGAAGCATGGGGAGACTGGTCAAACAGGGCACGGGGATTAAGGAGGGTACTTGTGATGAGCAGTGGGTGTTGGATAGAAGTGTTGGATCATGCTAATATTACACTGTATTTAACTAATTGGAATTTAAAGAAAAAGTTTTAAAAAAACAAACTCCATCTCAAAACTCCACTCAAACTGATGAAAGGCTATTCATCCTGGATTGTCTCTTTTGTCAGCCCTATGCACGTGCTCACACATTCCTCTACCCTTCCTGTGGATTATTCACCCTTCTGCCTCTCAGTTGCTACAGACCTTCTTATTTGTCTTCCAAGGCTTACAATTGTCATATAAGTCATACAACTTCCTATAGCTGTATTTTCTATTTGTATCTATTTTTTCCTCTGACCACACACTTATTTTTCTTGTTGTCACTGCTTTGTTAACTTCTCTTATTACTTATTACTCTTATTACTTCTCTTATTACTTATCATTATTTCATATCGTAGTGTTGGGGCACATAGCATAGTAGAGGACCTAAAAAATATATGCGGAATATGGAATCAACTGCTGACTCTGTCAAAACTACCATTTACTTACTAGATGCATGATCTTCACTAAATCACTTAACCTCTCTGTGGCTGCCCACATTTATAAGACAAAGTCTATAATAATAATAATACATTTTATGGTGGATGTTTTAGGTTGAATTGTGTTGGATATCAAATTAAATATTTTAAGTCTCAACTGCTGGTACCTCAGAATTACCTTATTTGGAAATACAGTCATTGTAGATGTAATAAAATAAAGGTGAGGTCATACTACAGTAGGGCGTCCCCTTAATCCAATATGACCAGTGTTTTTATAAGAAAAGGAAAGAGACATAGAGAGGGAGCACACCAAGTGCCCATGGAGGCAAAGACTGAAGATATACTCTGCAAGCCAAGTAACACTTGAGCGACAGGAAGCTGCAAGATCCAAGGAAGGATCCTCCCCTAGAGCCTCTGAAGAGAGCATGGCCCTGCCAACACTTTCATTTGGGACTTGTAGCCTCCATAACTGAGAGAGAATAAATTTCTGTTGTTGGAAGCCACCAGTTTGTGGTAGTTGGTTACAGGAGCCCTACGAAATTAATACAGCTGATGTGAAGGGTAACGAAACAGAAATCTCAGGAGAGTATCCCACTTGCAACACTTCACAAATCCTAATTTCCATTACACGTATCATTTCTTCTGCTGTAATATAAACTCCCTGAGCTCAGGAACCATATCCTGTGTTGTTCAAGGGCCACCCCACTAAATAACCCATGGAACAGTGGCTCAGAGAATGAATGAAATGTGTTTTGAATAAATCAATAATTAGTGCACTAATTTTTAATTATTCATTATTAGTCCTTTATAGGGAACACTGAAAAAAAAACTGAATACTTGCCATATTGCATAAAAATAGTCATAACTTAGGAGATAATTACTTTCTATGCAGATATGAATGAGATTGAACCTATTTGTACTGTATTCTGGCCAATTATTGGAAAATTAAATGAAGTTCTAATGAAGCTAATTACTAATAGATATCAAATTAAATTTCATATTATGTTTTTAAGAAAATAATCATTCATATTTTCAGTGCATTATAAAAACCTTAAAATACTTATCTTTTTTTTCTGTTGGTTGAAATTATCTATTATGACACCAATGAATAAGTTCAAAGTGAAGAATGACCCAAAGATGATAAAGATGACAAAATAAATATACATGTAGAGGTTGTATTCATATATGGGCTGCTCGTCTACCTATAAAATTAACAAAAGTTAGCAGTACACATACACAATAACATTAATCGTTTTCTTTTTCACATGGTTTGATGAGTTAATCCAAATAGTTCTATCCTAGGTGAACATAGCTTTTCAGAAGCCATAGCATTTTAAGGATCAGCACGAACTTTCTTAAAAATTTATTCAACATTAAGTAAATATTTATTACATGCTTACTATGTACACGAATATAATCTTCAAATGACTACAAAGGGCTTAATCATACATAGTACTTGTTCTCAGATTGGTAGGACATAGTAACTAAGTGACCTAATGTATGTTTTCTATCTCCAGAAAAAAAGCTATAAAAGAGGTAATAACCATATTTATAGAAATTTTGCTGATTTTTTTTTTTCATTTGATGATAGAAATGTCTTCAACAGATTTAACTTTCTTAGCATGGAGCTCATTTCACATAAACTCATCCACAGCATTTTAAATATAAAAACAATAAAACTGTGAATAAAAATTTTAAAACCCATGAATAACATCTGTTATTGAATTTTTATTTTGATAAACATATTTATTGAGGACTTATTATTCCCAGGCTGTATAAGGTCCTCTACTTACAATTTTTTTTTTTTTTGGAACCTCAGAACAATGCCATGAAGTGGACATTGAGTTTTTTTTGTTTTTTCAGTCCATAAACAGGCTGAGAGAGGAAAAGCGATTTGTTCAAAGTCAGTTGCAGAGCTTGTACGATACGAGAGCACCAGATTTTGAGCAAGCTTTGTCACCAAACGCTGCACGCATAACTGCTAGTCTTTTTTTAGGTGTAAGTTCTTCATTTTGTGTGTACATACCAATGGATCCTTGGAACTACTATTTGAAAATGGTCTAACTAAACTAAGGCGCTTTAAAAATTGTAAGTTTAGTGTAATATTGACCAATACTTACATTAACATTATCAACAGCTGCATACATAATATCCATCCATCCCTTAAATGTTGCCTATAACAATAAAATCTGAATGTGAGGTTCACACTCTACAATAGCCATACATGAGTTTAATCCACTTATTGTTACATTTAGTGACACCAGATCACTGGGCTTTACTATATTTCAAAATATCAATTTAATATAACGTGCTCTGTCAAGAACCAAAAGGAAATAGTCCTAAGTCACATTCTAAAACTCAGTCCTAGTTAATTATTTCCAGGTTGTTACAATGCCTGCAAAGTTTGCACATGAACTTTTATTTTTTCCAGAGGAGGGGAATTTTATGAACAAGGTAGGAAACATTTTTTTTTTTGTCCATTTCTAAAGGATCCTCTGTGATAGTAGGATGTTATTCTCATTCCCATGTAGTATAAAACTGGCAGTCCAAAAACTATTTATTTTTGGAGGAACATTCATATGGCACAAATGGTGAGGAGCCACATGGCACTGAAACTCATTTATGAATTAATGACTCTCAAATGCAACAGAATCTTTGCTTCTTAACTCATGTTTTATGGGCATATGTTCTAAGAAAGACCAAGTCTTCCTTTTAAAGTCTCAAAGTACCTTATCTTTAATTTCTAGGTGTAGATTACTTAAAGAATGACTTCTATCCCTCACCTAGTGTCTACTAAAACATCAAGCATTTGTGACAGGGCTCACTTACAACTTGAAGTAGAGAGAGGTAACCAAGTCCAACATTATCAAAGTTCACCTTCAAGTTCTTCCATCGTACATTTTGACTAATATTCATCAGCGTGTAACAGTCGGAACGATTCTGAACGAGGTTTGTTGGAAAGCGTGACCCATCTGTGGTATTAACACACTCATAGAACTTCCCAGCAAACAAATTTACTCCCATGATGCTAAATATTAGCCAGAATATAAGACATACTAGTAGTACATTCATGATGGAAGGAATTGCACCTATGAGGGCATTCACGACCACCTAGTAGTCAAAAGAAAGAAAAGGATGATTAGGAGTAGGAAAGATGTTAAATGGTCAACATTAAGGAAACACAATGCAGAATTAAATCAGAAAAGCCACCCATACATGTTTAAGACACCAAATCACCAACCAACATGTATTAATTGAATGTCTATGCTCAGTAGTATGCCAAGCATGAGAGAATGAGACAGAAGCCCTGTGAACAAGTTTACTAAAATACATGATAAACACACATTGAAACTGTAGCCACAATGCAAAACAAAGTAACTAAAATTATACCACAGCTTAAATAAATGAAAAAATAAAAATAATAAACCAAAAACCTGATATATGTAAGGTGAAGTCGAAAATCTGCATACTCTAGGGGGAAAAAAAAGAAATTTCTAAGTATGAATGATAACAAATAAAATGTACGTTTAAATGTACACTTAAAGGTTCACGGTCCTGGAATGATCAGTGTTAAAATTCTCCCATATACAGAAATGATTGGTATATATAGGCTGGAGTTGAAGTTAGGAGTTTTTTATTATATGAACCCTTTCTATTTAGTTGGTTCTGCTAATTGTGTGATATGTGAATTCAATTAAGACCTTGGGACCTCTGTTTCTTCATCAGCTAAATAAGAGCCACCTTTTCAAATTTATTATTCTAAGTCTAAATATACTTTATATATAAGTCCTTGGCTAAATATAGATAATGCTTGCCTCAGTTAAAATATAAATGAAGTAGCTTATCTTTAATAGTTCCTTTATTTCTGCTTGTTGGCATTTCCATTGTTACTAACGACCAGTCCCTCTTGCCGCTCCAGTTCTCTTGTGTGCAGACTATCACAGCATTTATCACTCTCCAGATTTTCCTAATTCCTTCACCTTTCAAAACCTACCTGTTTTTTCATACTTCAGCTCTAGTCTGAATTTGAGTCCAAATGTTTTAAAGTCTAATTTGTTAAATAAGAGCATTGTGTTCCCTCTCTTTTCCAAATGGTGAAACACTGAGCATCTCTGGCTACTTCTGAGATTGTCGAGAGCAGGAGTTGGCAAATAGTTTCTTAAATATTTTTTAGGCGTGCAGGGTTATATGGTTTCTGTTGCAATTATCCAATTCTTTTCGATTCTTTTTTTTTTTTTAAGATTTTATTTGTTTATTTGACAGAAAGAGAGATCACAAGCAGGCAAAGAGGCAGGCAGAGAGAGAGAGAGAGAGAGGAGGAAGCAGGCTCCCCGCTGAGCAGAGAGCCTGATGCAGGGCCCGATCCCAGGACCCTGAGATCATTACCTGAGCCGAAGGCAGAGGCTTAACCCACTGAGCCACCCAGGCGCCCCTTCAATTCTTATACCCCCCCTCTTTTTTAAGATTATTTATTTATTTGTCAGAGAGAGAGAGAGAGAGACAGAACACACAAGCAGGCAGAGTGGCAGGCAGAGGTGGAGAGAGAAGCAGGCTCCCTGCTGAGGAAGGACCCCCCCATGCCGGACTCGATCCCAGGACACTGGGATCATGACCTGAGCCAAAGGCAGCGGCTCAACCAACTGAGCCACCCAGCCATCCCTCACTTCTTATTCTTATATAAATTATAAACAAATGGATGTGGCTGATAAGTAGTAAAACTTCGTTTAGAAAACAGACAACAGGCCTGCGGGCTTTAGTTTGTTGACTTCTGGCCTAGAACAATAGTTATTACCCTGGGGTCTGTGGTCCTGTTGAGGTTCCACATGAGCATGAAATTATAATGAAAAACATTACAGGTCTATTTTTTAATGAAGAGATGATTCATATTTTTATGAGATTCTGATAGCGTACATGACACTAAAAGGGTTAGGAAGAACAGGAGTAGAGAATGAAGTTCAAAGTGGCCAACTCTTGTTCAAGCCTGTGCTTTCATCCTACTTCCTACTGCCCTCCCCACTGAGCTTCTCACCGAGGCACACTGATCTTCTAGTCATTGCTCAAATATGCCTTGCACACTCAATCCCGTGCTTCTCCCCCCAGGTAGCGTCTCTGCCTGCAATGTCTACACGCCTGGGATTTGGGCCCACTCTTTCAGTCATGGCTCCAACGTCAACTCCTTGTGAGGCCTACCTAGACTTCCCCAGGCAGCCATTCCAGACTCCACGTTTCTGTAGTGCTGCGTGCTTCCTACTTCAGAGCTGATGTCCTAGAATAACTACTGTTCCCCCGACTGTCTCTCCACGATTTTTTGTCCCTATTCCATGTTGGGGGACTGGGTCTCTTCACCCAGTACTCTTCTTAAAGCATAATAACTGACACATTGGTGTCTGAAATGTTTGCTGAAAGAATGTGAGCAACGGTGGGTCTCTGAGGGGGATTGGTCCATATTGGTCGGATAAGAAGTCATTTGAGAAAGTCAATAAGCTTAAGGGCCTCAAGACTCAAAGGAAACTAAGTACAAAATGCCTCAGATTTTACTTATTCTTCAGAATCATCCTGCAGTGTGAAGGAACATATCTTTTTGCGTAGTTAATAAATACTAAAGAGACACAGCTGGTCCTCCAAATACATTAAACCATTTTCCTGCATCCAGGTCAGCTCTATTATAGATAAAGAACAAAGAGCACAGAGGATAAAATAATGGGCTGACTTAATTGCTGAGGGAAGTAGTTTTGTAGGGGAAAGTATAGTCTTCATTCACGAAAATGCAGTATACTGATACTGAGTCCAGAAATCGGTTGTAAGTTCTAGACAGATTGTAACATTCTACCAGTGTTCAAAAAATGAAGTTAATGCCAATGGATTCCAATACCACCTTTCTGCATAATAACATAAATTATAATTTTTCAATTCTTATATGACAAAAAGGGTTAATTTATGATTTTTTTTTTTGTATAATCATGATCTCTCATAGCCGTTGTACACTGGATGCCTTAAGCTGTAGACAGTCACAGTTTAGCAGAGATAACACGGAAGATCTGCTAGACTAAAAGATACCCGATAGTTTCAGATTACCTAAGGTTTCAGATTACCAAGCCCCATCCCAGAGTTTATGAGTCAGTGTGTCTGGGGCAGGACCTGGGCATTTGGATTTCTAGTAAGTTCTCAGATGATGCTGATGGGTGGTCTGAGGATGGCACTTAGAGAAGCAGTGAGATACACTAATCTGCATGTAAGTTATTCAGGGACTACCCACAAAGAGGAAGTCAGAAAAACAAGTAAAAAACATTGTAACAAGGATTTTTTATGTCTGAACATAGAGGGAGGTTGCCCACTTAAGCCCTACGGTGAAGAGACAAAGCAAATTTAAACTAAGTCTTATTGGCCGGGTAGGTATCTCTCTGCTCTGATGATGAGTCAGGGCTACAACAGGGCTGGGAGAAGCATTCCCAGCCCAGAGAACAACAGGAGCATGAGAAAGCAAGTGTGAAGCTGGTAAAAAGGAAACTCGAGGAGAGCAGCAATAAAGGAGGATATGGACTAATCAGAGAGAACAAGGTTACTGTCCTCCATGTATTTTATGAAGTTGCTGGATTAATGCAGCTCTTAAAGCTAAGTTGCTACTAGTCATTATTTGTCTCACCTTGTTTGTCTCTACAAAATGACCTCTTTTCAGGCACCATGCAGCCTAGTACAAATTATGTAAATTCTCCAAGCTTTAGTTTTGTCAAGTGTGATTTTGGGGGTAATTCTATTTTCGGTTAAACATTTATTTTAAGGATGAAATTTAAGGTGGTGGCTGATGCCACTTCACGTCCCTGTTTGTTGGTATGATCCCTACCTATGGTAGCTCTTTAAAAAAATTTTTTTTAAGATTTTATTTATTTATTTGGCAGAGACAGAGAGTACAAGCAGGGGGAACAGCAGGCAGAGGAAGAAGCAGACTCCCTGCTAAGCAGGGAGCTCGCTGTGGGGACTCAATCCTAGGACCCTGGGATCATGACCTGAGCTGAAGGCAGACACTTAACTGACAGAGCCACTCAGGTGCCCTATAAAATATGAGCATCAGATACAGGCAAGTCCTTGATAACTCGTATATGGGAGATGTTATCAGAATGAGTGTCCCCTTCAGATTCCTAGCACAGAGCAGATTTTCATTTAAAAAAGGATTAGTCACTTATTTGGATTATTGCCTAACAATATTATGTGAAGGAGGCTTTACTGTATTTGATTTACTCTTTGTTAAACTATATGCACTGAATACTATGTATATGCATATGCACACACACACATATATAAGCAGTCCATCTATAGGTAGATATATGTACATATAAATATAAACAGTCCATAATTTCTACATACTTTTTTTTTATATTTTATACTCAATTTAGAAAATAAGGATATTAGAAAGTTTAGCATTTTCTTACCCTCATTCCTTCAAATCTAGATAAAGCTCTTAGAGGTCTTAAAGCTCTAAGTGTCCTAAGGGATTTGATGGGGCCAAGGTCTGAGTAGCCAAGAGTGCTTGCAACTAAAGTAACCAAAGAAACCTACAAAAAAAGAAAATTTTCATTAATTATTTCAATGTAATAGTAAAGCACAAAGAGGAGAAGTCAATTTCAAAGATCACTAAGAGCAGATCAACAAGAATAATATTTTATATATCGAGCTGTCTAGTCATTGCCTAAAAATAGATAAGATGAATGAATGCTTTTCTAAGGAAATAGCTTTAAAGGAAGGCTAATGAAAATAAAAAGAAATAGAAAGAAAGTAGGTTATTTCTTATATCTGAATAAAAATCATATAAGCTTTTCACAATTTCTGTCATCAATGATTATGTACTTGCTTATTAATTCTGAACTTATGCTGGATATATTTAATCAGATATGCTCTTCATTTAATTTGAGCAACTTATGTTACCCATCCATGCTGTACATTTAATTAGAGCAACTATAAAAATTTCAATTATAATAAAACCTAGGGCATAACAAAGTGTGTGATTCTGAAGTTAAGTCATAAGAGTGTGGCTCTGACTCAATCAGATCTAAGTCCTAGTATAAACCTTATTCAAAAGCATTTTGAAGACTCATGATTTTGAGGTGGAGCTAATTCCCCATAAGATTGTTCTGCCTTGCAGTTTCTCAGAACTGGCACCAAAGATTTACCTAGTAATAGTGGGAGAAATCTCAATTGTATTGAAGAGAGCACAAGAGTATGTGATCTCATTGGCTTTACAATAAACCAAGGCATACAGAACTTCATCATGTTAGACCTGCCACAATGACCATAACCAGTACCCAACAGAAATTTGTGTTCTTATAAACTATCTTTGAAGAAAGAACATGGACAGAAATAAAATCAATACACATTCTGGTAAGAGTGTAATGAGCTCCTCAATGACCTTACATCTTGATCTGTAAACACATTCAGTCTCTGAGTAGGTTCCATTTAAAATATTCATTTGTTTTTACACTGTGTGGCAGGAAGCAATGTCTAAAAACAATGGCTGGTATATAGCTCTTCATTATGAATTAAGTACTGACTAAAAGATCAAAATTTTCCAGGGAGGACTAGGAATACTTGAGAATCAACCTCCTTATATTTAACTATCAACAGAGTAGAAAAATTTGTTGCTCACAAGTTCACTGTTCCTGCTATCAGAGATAAGGAAACTGATTATGAATCAAGATGTGTTGTTTTGTTCTTTCTCATCCAGTTGCTTCCAAATGTCTTCATATAACATTGTATGTTATATGACTTATTTTTAAGTCTTTATGTTATATATCCAACAGAACTAATCCTCCCTCATATCATTCTGAAATTCACCCAAGTCGTTCAGGTCCATTATTTTCCAGTTAAGTACACTCAAGAAAATATGCTCTTTAATTAGAATAGCAAGTATTCCTTTTAATCAGGAAAAAAAAAAGTTTTGAAATGTCTATTATAATGGGAATAACCCCTACAGAAATGGCAGACCTAATTTCCAAACCACTGTTAGGTGTCATGATATTGAATATAATAGATACATATTATTGAGAAAACTAGAGATTACTCTATAAATGAGAAGATATATACACATCTATTTATCTATGCATACATATGTATATACACAGTATATGCCAATACTGATGACTAAGGCTCAGGCAAACAAATTTCAGTTCAAGAAGCCTATGGAAATCCAACAAGTCCATCCTGTGAATATCAAATCCGATCAGTGGTTCTGAAACCTCAGTATGCATCAGAATCATCTGGAAGGCATATAACTACAGTGTTCTGGGTCCCAACACCTGAGATTCTAGTTGAGTAGATCTTGGGTACGTCCTGAGAAATGCATTACTAATAAGTTCCCACCAATTTGTTGGTTCAGGGATCATACTTTCAGAACAACGCTAGATAACTGGTTCAATTCTTGGGAAATAAAATCTCAGGTCCTCCTCCAAATCTGCATCACTAAATTTACATCTCTACCAGCAAGAATGTTGTGTCCAGCTTTGCTCTCCATGCTGCATTATAAAAATATTACATATAGAATATATATGATATATAATATATAATATGCATTTGTGTTTGCATGTACATTTACTTACTTTTTCTCAAAATATTAAATAACAGTTCAAACTGAAGCTATATATCTGAGTTCTGTATATTCCATACTCTGAAATATTAAGGTTCACCAGTTCAGATTTTCAAATACAAGACAAAATAATTTCTTCTATGAAATGGACTTATCTCTTTCTTAACCTAAAATAAATTCAATTGTATGTATAAACTTTACTTTCGCAGACTGAGTGATGAAAATAATTATGTTTGTGATAATATTATTAAAGGTTTTTTAATATCTTAAATATTTTATACCTTTTAAAAGACCCAATTGTATTAAATTGTTAAGAGAAAAGAAAAGAAATAACCTACATTCCTTCTATCATTTCTTCTTATTTTGGTTAGCCTTTCTTTAAATCGATTATGTTACAAAAGCATCTATCTTACCATTTATTTTTCTAGCCAGTAACTAGGTAACATATATATAAAAGTAAATTAAAGAACAATCAATATGGAATCAGTAATATAAGGTCTCAAAAATTACAGATCTCACAGAGAAAGCCTAAGAGAACTTAAGAGGTGTAATGTATAGCTACACTAAAAAAAATTGTTTTTGTATATCACTGATAGAGAAAACAAAAGTGTTATTGCTTGTAATATTTTATATATTGAGCTGTTTAAAAAGAGTTCACTGAGCTTTCTTTTTCTTTTTTCATTTTTTTTCTTTATGTTGTTATGTCACCATACAGTATATCATTAGTTTTTGGATAACAGCTGAGAAATTGAACTTAGTTTTGGTTTAATTTTGTAGTCAGACTTGGCTATTTATAGTCATGCTTACTTGTAATTTTGATTTCTATGAATGATGCCATATTTATCTTTTCTGTAAAGTTTGATGATGCAAACTCTTGGTTAAACAAGTGTTAGAGCACTTGTTAGCACTATAAACATTTGCATGTTGTCCTCTAATTCCACATCAGATGGAAGACAAATCTCTAAGAATTGTAATACAATTCCCTAGCCACAAAGACTAGATTTTATAAAATCTAGAATTAGTAGAAGAAGGAAAAAAAATAAATCATCCTAAGAAAAATTAGATGGGGAAGTTGAGGTCATGAATTAATTTAAGATAGCAATTTAAAATAATATAAAATATAATAATATAATTATTATATGTTATATATTATTAAATTATACCATTAAGATATAAAATAAAGTTGAATACACTAAATAAGAATAAATTGAAAAACTGGGTGTTGTACCATTTCTATTTGAGATGCCTTAATCTCACAGTTGTTTTAGGATTCCTTTCCTATTTCAATAAGATTCCTAAAAAATATTTTGCTCTGTTAAAAATAAGACATAAGCTAAAGCATTCTTATATACTTTCCATCACCCAAATATTGAATGGTTCTCTGAATTTATTACTTGAAATTGCCAATGCCTATTTTTCTGCTTCCCTGCCACTCTAGAAATAAAGGGTAAGTTGGATGTTTCAGGTGGGGACAAGAGTTCCGACTCATTTTGGTTTTCCCTCTCCTGTGACAGAGATTAATATTTTGAAATTCCATGGCCCCCAACTCCTTAACGCAGAGTTGTTAAGCTTTAGCACAATCATTTTACATAACTCTCAGCTAACATATCAGACAACTTGACATATCCTTTATCCTCTTTTATTTTCTAATTTTATATTGTAAAAAAAAAAAAATTAATGTTTTATTTTTTTAAATTGTGCCTCTGCCCATTTCCAGTTCCACTGTCACCACCTAGTTTTTCATTTTGTTCTTCTTCCCAGTAAAATGATATTCAAATCATATATATATATATATATATATATATATATATACACATGTATATAAAATCACGTTTTCTCTGATTGCAGAAAACTTATGCACAAGTAAGTTATAAAGTTTAGAACGGTACAAGAAAGAATTCATATTCACTGCAGAATTTCTCTTTTAATACTCTTTATAGAAATAGTTCTACTGGCTATATTAATATTTCAAAAATACCCATAAAGCTATAGTCTGAAAGTACAAAAAGCTAACCAAGATTAAAATATGATAACAAACAACATTAGTGAAGGTTCTCAGAATACTTATTTGTAAGATAAATCCAACCTACATCAACAATTAAGAAATCCAGCCAACACCAGGCATTGGTGAAATACGTTTTATAACCATAAGCTACCCATTTTAGAAGCATTTCCAGAATGAAGACGTAAGTGAATATCTTGTCAGCATACTCCAGGATAATCTTAATGGTCTTTTTCTTTTCAATATATATATCTTCAAAAGCCTGTGAAGATAATATTCAAATTTCAATTCACACCCAACTTAAAGCTTATGATTCATAACAAAAGCAGGAAATAAAATTCTGATGGAGAATTCTATGCTGGAGGATAAATACTATAATGTGCTAGCTGACTTTCTTCTGGTTTACAGCTACTAGGTAACACTTACTTCTGGACTTCTTACTAGTATGTACCACTGGTCACCACAGGTTAAAGGGTGCAAAGAATAGAATTATCTATAGTCCTCTAAAAGAACCATGATCTCGGATAATTGCAGTAATTCCTACTTCATCTGACTCCTGTTTATCTCTCTCCAAATTGGATGAATCCTGATAAGGTAGGACATGATTCCCAGATCAGCCAGTCACATATACCTTTCTCACCCTGTACTCTCCTTCACACCCACTAGTAGGATTTGGAAACCTCCTTCAGTTCTTATATGCTTATGTGTTCCCAGTGCCTAGAGCTGTGTCAAAAACACAGCAGGAGGTAAGGGAGTTTGCTGAATGAATGAGCAGTAAGTCTTGATGCTGAGTACTCTTGATGCCTGGGTACACCTTGTTCTGACTAGTCCCAGGGCTGGAAACAAGACTCAGCCTGCAGGGCTTCTGGCTAACTTCCAGGACCACTTCCATGGATATGGGAGCAAGAGGCAAGGACATCATTATGTGAGCTCTATCCAATGTGGGGTGTAGGTTTTACTGTTACTCATTTCAGCTACCACTCATTTGTTTCTACACAGTGTGTCCTCTCCTTTTTGAGGATCCAGAAATCAGTGAAAAGATATGGTTGGTTTTGATTTTAGAGCTCAGTTAAGTTATGGGTCTGTCATATAATAGCTTTTGGACATGAAACAACTTTTACACTCTCCACCCAACTTCCTCATTGGCAAAATAAGCAAAATGATCATTATTTCACAGGATTGTTTAAAGATTAAGTGAAAAAACTATACAAAGATCTTGAAACATAATAAATATGTACTAACTTGGTTGTTACTTTTTGTTTGTTTTATAGGCAAGTATTTTAAAAATCTAGCTTAGTTAGCAAACTATGAGTAAAACAGCCGTTTCTTAAAATACCTTTCCCTTTTCCTCATCATATGATTCATTTGAATTTCAGTTTTCTTTAAAGATTTTATTCATTTATCTATTTGAGAGAAAGAGAGAGCACCAGAGAGCGCACAGGTACCTGAGCAGGGGGAGGACCCGAGGGAGAGGGAGAGAGAGATTCTCAAGCTGACTCCAGGCCAAGTATGGAGCCAAACATGGGGCTTGAGCTCACGACCCTGATATCATGACCTGAGCCAAAAATCAAGAGTCCCACACTGAATCGACTGAGACACACAGGCCCTCCAGAATTTTAGTTTTGAGAGTGCCTTTTGCCAAAAAATGTTATCTTCCTTTTTAGACATTTTGAATAAGGGATTACTCTGAACTTTTCATTAATTTTTTTTTCTCTCCTTTCTAAAAGTCTCAGTCACATGTGTGACTCAGCATGGAATAAACTTCTAGTAGCGATTAGGAATACAAGATAGTGTAGACGTTGTTGAGATTCCTACTTGCATTTCACTGGACAAGAGGAGTACCATTTTCCTTACTCATCTCTGTTTTAGCAGAGGCCATCCCTGCAGCCTCTGAGCATCCTTGCATGTCCTTGTTCAGTACACCAAGAAGGCAAGGCCCTGGCTTGCTCTTTACTCAGTGCTGCTTTTGCAACAGGCAATTGTGGGGGATGACACAGTGTCTATGTCTGGGACAAAAAAGCAAGGCTGCTTACTGCTTTCTTTAAAAGGATAGGGTTTCCTAGGGCACTTGGGTGGCCAACTCTTAATTTTGGCTCAGGTTATGATCTCAGGGTTGTGAGATGGAGCCCCACATTGGGCTCCAAGCTGGGCATGGAGCCTGCTTAAGATTCCTTCTCTCCCTCCCCGCCCCTCCCTTCCTTTAAAAAAAAAAAAAAGACTCCCTAATTTAGTGCTCTTCAGCTGTGATGCTACTCCATTGTGTGTGTGCCATTAATTTATCCCCATACCAGGCCCTCATGAGACTTGGGGACAAGACGAACCAACACATGTTGACGTTCATATGGGTTTCAATGTCATGAGTAATAAAATCCTTCGTCTCTGACTTGGAGGTCTCATATACTCTAGCAGCATCCATGAAATAGCAAAAGGTTAACTTCTCATAAAAATCCAACCCCAGATCCATCAAGACTATCTGTGACCCAATTTACAAAGTTCTTGAGTACTCTGTTTCTAGTATAATGGAATTTCCAGTGGTATCACTAGCTGAAACTGGGCTTATAATGGTTCATCTCTCTTCGTGTCTGCAGGAAAGAAAAACGAGAAAAGGCTCAGGGAGTTTGTAACTCTCCCAGGTCCCTTTCAACTCTCATAGAAAGTGCATGGTATATGTACAAGAGTGAGAAATGTGTCCACTGTCACCCTAAAGTTAGTTAGTTTTGTAAGATGCTTCATAAGCTGGCACTGCCTATCTTTGTCACAGTACCTGTGGCCACCACTCTCCTCCCTGTATTCGCTCTTCCTCTAATGTCACTTTCTAAAACTTGGAAACTTTTAATTTCCTGAATGCCTTATGATGTTTTATGCTTCCTTGTCCCCACACACTTGTTCTTCAGCCCACCCCATCTGGCTGGAAAATCCTAGTCATCTTTCTAGATCTTGCAAAACGTCAACTATTTTTCTGAAATTCCAAGCGGACAATTGTTCATCTCTTGCTAAAGAGTTTTTATCAAGCATATTCTTCACTTAGAAACACATCCCAGCTCTGTAATCACCTGTGCCTTTCTCCCCAGTGGTCTCTGAACTCCTTGAGAAAAGCACCCGGATCTTATCCACCTTTGCATTCAGGGAAGCATGTACTACATGCCTGGCATGTAGTAGTGCTTACCAAATATTTACTGAACTAAACTAAAATTTTGTCCTAGCCCTAATCATAGGAATTCATTTTGAGGTAAAACAACTTTCATATTTTATCCTCCAACTCGCTTATTAAAAATATTGACTCGAGTGATTGTTTTGGGTGTCCTATAACTTACCAGGGCTCCACTGCTGAGCAGGATCATGAGAACAATAAAGCTTTCAAACCAACTGTGTTCAACTATTCTGTAGCACGTTTTCCTGACGTTCCACCAGATTTTTCCTTTTCCTGACTCTATGTCAACTTGGCAGCATGGGAACCTCCGCACACAACCTGACAAGAGAGACAGGCATGTAAAATATTGATATTAAGAATAAATAGAATGCTTATGCAAAGCTTTCCCCGTGATGGCCCTCAACTGAATAATTTCTAACACATGGCAGTTTTGAGTAGATTCAACTTGAATAGATTCAACTAAAAATAACTTGTCAGTTATTTCTAACTTAAAATGTATTCTGTATTTCCTTGATTTCTCATCATTCTCTTCCTAAGTGTTTAAACTACTTATTTTTTTTTCATTATTGCCGTCCTAATACTGTGCTGTTACATGATGAACAAGGAATGAATGAATATTAAACTAAAATCTGAGGTCAAAATGCTTTTCAAGATGTTCTTTGCTGATAAATTAATTTTCCTTGATGTGGAGCTCATCTACAATTTTCAGATACTTCCACTCTATAAAGAAAAGGCTCTTCACAAAGCTTCAGTCCTAGATAATATTAAGAAAATTGGTATAAGTTTCTAAAATTATGTTCAGAAGAAATTGATTTTAATTAGAAGATGCAGGGAAAACTGTTTCACGTACTTTATGTTAAAAACAACTCTGCCTTTGGAACTCTAGGCGTAGAACATGCTGCTATGATAAGCCGAGGAACATTTTATTTCCAATGTTTTAGGTTTATTCATTCATTTCTCCATTAAACATTTATTGAATATCTTTTATATACTTAGTTGTGTATACAGTTTCCTCTCCTCAGGGGATTTATTTTTGGTTTTGGTTAGGCAGATAGGGATAGAAATAAATGCAGGTAACTGGATAAGCCAACTAAAATCATAAATATAAAGGGGCTATTTTGGTAGCATGAAAAAGTCTACCTCAGCTGGCTCGTTTGCTGAGGAGAGACTGGAAGAGTCTTTGTGGAAGAGACAGAGCCTGAATTGAGTCAAAGTATTAGCCAAAAAGAGTGTAAGTGGAACTGTAGGCCAAGAAGGAGCAAAATGTATTGTACATAGGAATTATGAGCAGTTCAGAATTGTGATGAAAGCAAAGTGTACACAGTAGACATGGGTGAGAAATGAGGTTAGGGAAATTGGTCAGATTATGTAAAGCATTTTCCCCCACATGAAGGAGTTTGGTCTATATCCTATAGACGTTGAGGAGTAAGTGAAGGGTTGTTAGCAGAGAATGATACAAGCAGATACAACTTAAATTGATGTCTCCAACAGCTGAATGGAGGATAAGTTGGAAGAGAAAAAAAAAAAAAAAGAGAGAGAGAGAGAAAAAAAAAAAAAAAAAGAACGTGAAGTTATGGGAAGATTCTGAACCAGAAAACCATTTGGGATTCTGGTCCAGTAGTCTTAACAAGAGGGATGACCTCTTGGCAACATGACCTCATGGCAACTCTAGTTAGGAACTACAACAATAATAGATTGAAGACATGTCTGGCAGGTAAAATCAGCAGGATTTAGTGACTTGTTGGAGATGCGATATAAGAGAAAAGGAGGATCCCAGAACAGCTGGATAAATGTCAAGAATGACATGAACAGGTGCGGGAGCTACTTGGCAGGAAAGGAGTTTGGGATGCTGGTTGGGACTTCCAAATACAAATATCCTGTAGCTATTTGGAGGTCTGAATCTGACGCTCGGGAGGAAAGACGTGCTAGAAAATGAGAGTTTTTGAGGTCACACACACAAAAAACTTATTTTAGGACCAACCAAGAAAAGGCTCATAGACAAGGGCCAAGTCTGGAGCATTCCAAAACAGTAATATTAAGAAACAGAATGCAATGGCATGCTGGAGCCAGCTCATTTAGGTTCTTAATAATAACTCGTCATTCAATTGTCAGGCATTTTTGCAACAAATTGCTGCACTTGTTAAATGAACCAATTATCAAAAGTTAAATTATATGAACTTAAAATTACAACTTACTTTTAAAAAGACAATAAATCCTAAAAACATATCCCATTCCAATCATTTAACTATTATCTATGCTCTTGAGTACATTTCTGTCTTCTATCTGGGTCATGGAATATATGTCATACTGTTGGACTATTGGCATCTCTTCCCAACTCCACATTTGAAGAAGTCCTATTAGTAGTCTGAAATAACCCACGGTGAGGATCTTTACACCACAAAAGTCATCAAATGCTATACACCAGGGCTTGCTGATTTTCTAGAATAAACTTAACAAGTAATGCAGGAAATGTTAATAAAATATTAAAATAGTAATTAAGAGTCATATTTGTAGTCATGACACTGGAAATAAAACAAAAATTGAGGAAATATTCTTTCATTATTCAAATTCTAGTATCTGAGATTTGCAAACATCATTGATGAATGAGTAAAATTTTGATATATAGTTTCTTTGTCTCATTTTCACCTTATTGATCAACATAAATGAAATTACCAACCAACCTTCAGGTAAAAACTATACTTGTCATCAACTGCAATCACTGATTATCTATAAATGCAAAATTTTGGTAAAATTTAACAAAAGCATTCTGTGAGAATCAATGAGCTATATGAAATGTGCAGTAAGGAATATTGCCTATATTATTATTGTAAATCACGCGCCAGAGATACTTTATATCAGTAAAATTTATAGTCAACTATAAATGTACATATGCATGATGTCTTTTTTTTGGAGAACCGGTTGTTAAACATCCACTTGTATTCCACCAGGACAGGTGGAATAAGAGAAAAATTTGAAGGAGAAAGAGACAGAGTAGAAGTGGGAGAAATGTACAAGGGGCTGCAGTAAAAAAAAGTCAGAGAGTAGAAAGTTTCATAAAGGGCAGATGAATAAAACCACAACCAAGAAAGACCCAGAAACATAATGACTAAAATTTCAAAAGACAAATTTCAAAAACTAAAGTTGATTTAAAAAAAATACCACAATTGGTTTGAAGAAGAGGAAGAACTGAAAAAAAAAGGAACTATAATTAATTGATCTATTAAAAATTTTTCTTTCAGAACCCCTGTGTACTGTTTGTGGGGATATAAACTGGTGTAGCCTCTGTAGAAAACAGTATGAAGGTTCCTTGAAAAGTTAAAAATAAATGCCATATGATCCAGTAATGCCACTACTGGGTACTTACTCAAAGAAAATGAAAACACTAACTTAAAAAGATACATGCACCCCTATGTCTATTGCAGCGTTATTTACAATAGCCAAGTCCATTGATAGACAAGTGGGTAAAGATATGGTATATAGGTACACCATGGGTTCTTACTCTTCCATAAAAAGGAATGAGATCTTGCCATTTGTGATAATATGGATAGATCTACAGGGTATTCTGCTAAGTGAAATAGAGAAAAACAAACACCATATGATTTTACTTACATGTATAATATAAAAAAACAAAACAAACAGATAAGTAAACGTAAAAAGCAGAAAGAGACCCATAAATACAGAGAACAAACTGATGGTGGCCAATGGTGGCAAAGGAGGGAATGGGCAACACAGGTGAAGAGAAGTGGGAGGTACAGGCTTCCACTTACGAATTAGTCACAAAGCATAGGAAATATAGTCAATGATATTATACACAAGAGCACTGTATGGTGACAGATGGTAGCTACACTTGTGGTGAGCATAGCATAACATATAGATGAGTTGTATCACTACGTTGTACACCTGAAACATTTTGTGCCAACTACACTTTCATATAAAAAAAAAAAATCACTGAAAAAAAGTTTTTCCTTCAAATTAGAGGGAAGATATAAAGGGGGGGAGAGCATTTTTTAGACACTTGTTTCAGAGGTTTACAAGACAGGCATTTTGAAAAATAATTTCCTGTTTCATAAAACAATATGTTTAATTAAAAAATATTGAGCCTATCAAGTAATAACTTCAGAGAATCAAAAAGTGTATGCCCTGAAACAGAACCAGAATTCTTTTGAACTATACTGTTTAGGCAGTGTCTTATTATGGTTTCTTTCATGATTCCAACATGAAATTAGTTCATTGATCCAGGTAATATGAGGTTCATCTGGCACTTTAATTTCCAGCACTATAGGAATGTAGCAAGCTGTATTCCCCACCCCACCCCTAACCCCACCAAAGTCTCTGGTGTTTTTGCTACTGTGTCTTTTATATATTCCTGTCCTTTCTCTCTGGAAGCTTTTAAGCTCCCTGAAGACTAAAACTGCATCAGTTATGCCCTTCCTTTCTGTTCACTATACTTACTGTAGTCCTTTACATACATAGTTTAATGGGTCATGTATAGTTGATTCAAAAAACATAATCCCCCCCTCCGAAAGAGTTCTAAAATAATCCAAGTATTAGTAATGATCTGAAAGTTCAGATCTCTGAACTTTCTGCAAATTCGAGAATTTAGAGGAAAGATTGAATGGGGGAAAAAAAAACCCAGGGTGCATAAAAAATGTACATATGCTTTCATTTAACCCACGTTAAATTACAGTTAACATGACTTGAGATCTGAATGAATTTACCTTCAGTGTATTTAAAACAATTAGTTTACATATCAAATGTATTTAATAAAGTTAGGATATTTTATAAAATGATGTGGGAAATAGTAAAAAGGTAGAATCAAAAATGGGCTCCCAGATCATCTCTTCCTGGGTGAAAGAAAACAACAGAAGGAGTGAAAAAATTTAAGAAGGGCTTAGTTTTTTACATTAACTTAATGCTTGAGACTTTAGAATTTATCTCAATATAAAAACAAATACCTTGCACAGAACAGAATCTATCTGCCTCAAGTAAAATTACCAGAGGAGAAAGTTTCCCTTTAGAATTTTACTATCTAAGATTTGTGTCGGTCTTAAAACTGAAGAGAAATATTATTCATAGGATTGAGGTAAGAAAAGGGACCACACATTCTAATTAGAAAAGTAAACTTTTTATCTGAGATGAAAGTTGATAAGTATTGCCCTCAGGATTTATCACACCTCAGAGAGTTTCTCACTCTTATTCTGAGGCAGGAGTGTTTGAATGCCTTTCTGGTTTTTATGCAAAGGCATATCCTAAGAGATTTCCAACCCAGCTGGTTAGCAATGTTATCACATCTTCTTTTTTAAAGGGACTATTAATTAAATGCAAACATAACAGAGAACCTCTCAAACATTTTAATGGGTCCCCATGGGTAAAGGCTATTTCTTTTGGGTGGTTTCATTAATTTTTCTCGTGATGCATTTCATAAAGTCTATACTGGGTTTCATCATGTTAAACCAGTGCTCCCCACCCCCACCCCGCAAAAAAACTAACCAACACTAACCTCCTCCAAGACAAACTATCTATTAATAAAAGTATAATAGCATAATCAACATAATTAATGTAAAAATGATTAAGAAAAATTAGTCTTTTATAACTTCTTAAAAATCTCTAAATCCTCTAAAACAAGTGTTTTGTCCACATTTTCTTTAAAAAAAGACAAAAGTAGGCACAAGTTGAGTTGTTGTGTTCTTAAAGTTAGAATCACTTATTAGTTACTTTATAGGAAGCTGAATTCAGAGCATGGGGGGAAAGTTGAGTTGGTTCCTTCTACCAAATTAACAGAAAATATATTATTTTATGAGAAAGAGGGTTTCCTACTCATACCTTAATCCTGATTTTGTAATTTGCTAACTGTATAATCCAAAAGGAATATAACGTAAAACCAAGCAGAATCAGAGTTCTGTCATGTCAGGTTGCCACGACATGCAGAAGTAAGGCTAGGGAAAGACAGTAGTAGGTCTAGAGACGGACCCTGGCTTCTTGAATTATAAAATTAATGCAACAGAACTAAGGAAAACCTGGCATAAGAGGTAGGAGAAAAAGATGAAGAGGAATATGATGAAAATTAGTAGTGACAGTTATGAAATTGAAAAGGATTAATGGATGTGAGACAATGAACAATATCATTTTGGCGCTCATCTTCAGTGAAAACCCAATCTTCTGATGTAACTCTCATACTTCCTGTGATTTTTCTGCTGTCTTCCAGGTAACAAAAGTCTCTGGAGGCCAAACGCTGCTCTAAACTGCCATTGGTTCTAGCTCAGCTCTTGCAGACCTATCACAAACTGGTGAGAGTCATTTCCAGTGTAAGTGAATGAGTTCTCAATTTCCCATCCTAACAAGCCCATGTGTTTTGAAGTCTTTCTGTGGAAGACCTCTCCCAGTTTCTCAGGTCCCAAACTTGGCAGTCGTCGTTGACTCTTCTTTCCCATTTTCACATTGGACCTGACATCCAATCCATCAGCAAATTCCTTTAGCTCTAACTTCAAAATCTACTCAAAACTTCTTATTTTCATGTGGAGTACTGCAGGAACATCCAGGAAATCTCCCAGCATCTGTCCTTGCTATCCACCCATTTACTCTTAAGATGGCATATTGAGACTTTTAAATTAGGTCTTTATAATGTCCTTAAAAGCTCCTATGTTCTGGCCTCTACTGCATCTCTGACCTCAACTTCTACCACTCTTACCATCTCTCAATCTCTATACTCACCCCTTAACTTTCCTCAAATATCGTGCATATCTCCACCTAGGGGTATGTGCCTTCATTACTTTGCCTAAAATACTCTCCCTTCCTACATTTGCATGGTCCACTTCAATTTTTTTAAAGATCTTTGATAAATGCTACCTTTTTAGAGAGGCCTTCTTGACCACTCTACTTACATGATAGGAGCATCCTACCCTTTAACTACTATATTCCCCTTTTCTTTTCACTTCTCCATAGCATGTATCACTTATCTGACCTACTAAATATTTATGTATGTATTTGGGCAAGGGACAGTGTTTTATTCATTGCTCTCTCTCCGGTGCTCTAGCCTGGGCTTGAAATACAGAAGGTGTTTAATGATTATTTGCTGATTGGATGAAAGAATGATTAAGTGGATAAAGGGTGAGAGGCTCACCAAATTGGCTGTCCTGTTTGATTTATCAGGGTGAGCCTCTTAGCCCAGCAGGTCCCCTGAGTATAGAGTTTCCAGTGGAGCACAGCTGCTCAAAGTGATAGGACTCACAGATGTGTGTTTCCTCATAAACGTTCTTGTCTTTTTTTCTCCAAATTATGTATTCATTTATCTAAGTTCTTATTAAGGTAGAACATATATTTAGTATAGTATACTAATTATAAATATATAAATTGATACACTCATCTAATAGGTAGGTCATGATATAACATTTTAAGCACCTGGAAAGCACCCCTATGTCCTTTCCCAATCTCTACCCTCTAGAAGTAGCTACTGGCTTCACTTCTATCTTTGTAGGTTTATTTTGCCCTTTCTTCCTCCACATCCTCTGCTTTACTGAGGTATAACTGAGAATTAAAAACTGTAAATATTTTAGGTATACAAATTGATAATTTGATATTATGTATCCATTGTAAAATACTCACCGCAATCAAGCTAATTAACATAGTCCATCTTCTCACACAGTTACCAATTTCTTCCCTGTGTGTGTGGTGAGAATATTTGAGATCTACCCTCTTAGAGACCTCAAGTGTACAATACAGGATTGTTAAGCATAGTCACATTGGTGTACACTAGCTCTCCAGAATGTATTTGCCTTGTGTAACTGAAACTTTGGCTCTCAGTAAATTTTCAGCAGTCAAGGCCAAATACATCTGAAAATATGTTTCTATACTATCTCCTATACACTAGGCTCAATTTAGAAATTATGCATAACCTCAAAGGAATCACATAAATATTATCATTAGTGCTTTGTAGGATTAAAATAAACTTTTTATGTAGTTTAATCTCATAAGATAGCACCTGCAGATTACAATACCTTAGCATTAATTCTTTGTGCAGGAGGTTTAAGTTTTTATAAAGCCCTTTTCTAATTTGAGACCATAATCTTCTTGATAAACCCAACTTCTTTCTAGTTATCTTAGAATTTTAAGTCAGAGTCATTCATAAAATGGGTAGAGGACATCTTGGTAGCATCTGCACAAATTTAATGGTGCTAATCAATTTAGTGAGAAATAGGCAACACTTGATGAAATTCTTAAATGCCTTTAATATGAACACTTCTAAAGGAAACTATGTGTTTTGCTCATGGTATTAATTTCAGCAAACTTTCATAATTTTTTCACAATTTTCACAAATTTCACAAAATTTCTATCAATTATCATACTTGTTTGTTTCTCACATAAAATGGAATTTAGCTTTGTATCCAAAGAAAATTCATGCGCCCATTGTAATTTGGAGATATCTTTATTTGACAGGCATTTTGTTTACCGCATGAGTGCTAGAGGAGGCTGGTTGAGAAAAATTATAGAGGATGAATGCAAGGTAATGATTTCTACAAAAAATACTGATGCTGAGAGTAACACATAGTAAGTCATTAGCATCAACACTATTCTATCATAGCTTCTCCATAGAATTGTTAACAAAATATTTTTTAAAGTAAAAAAAAAAAAGGAAAAGAAGAATGTTAAGAACTGTGGTGATTAATTTGTGTTATCTCATTCAGTCTCCTGGATATCCCTATGATTCTGATGCAGTTGTTATACCTGTTTTACAGATCAGGCATCTAAGATATAAGATTTTAAAGTGCGCTCAGGGTCTCACAGAGGTAGCAATAGACCAATTAGGACTCACGTTTATCAGGCTTCAAAACTTGTGGTCTATGTTATCATATTACATTGCAACTCTAGTATAGGTTATTCAATTAGAAAACACTGTACACTTCCATAGGTCAAGTTCAAAGTTACTACTTCGACTAAAATCCCTGAAACATTCCAGAAGTAGTAAGTTCAGTAAGTCAGGAAGTGAAAAGGAATCAAAGGAGGTACTGTTAGAAAAGAATAGACTGAAGTGCAAAGGCTTTTACATGCTATGTTAAGGACTTGGGGTTTTATCCTATAGACCAACGGTTCTCAGCTTCTAGTGTGCATCAGAATCCCTGGGAGGGTGCTGGCCCTGCCCCAGAGTTTCTGATCAACTTGCAGTTTCTGTAATCTAGTGTGGGGCTAGAAAAGAAGAGGTCAGGGCTGACCCCAAGTCTTTAGCTTGAGAGACAGGATAGATCAGGATGTTACTAAATGAGACAAAGATCAGAAGAAGCTGTGGATTTTATAGGGGAGAACTCACTAAATTTTTTTTAAACTTATTATACTTGACATATTTAAAGGCCACCAGTGGAGATGACCAATGGGGAATTATAAGCATATCTGGAATTCAAGTGTGAGGTCAGGGGTAAAGATAATTATTTAAGAGTCAAATAACATAGAAATAGATGTCTGAGCTATAGACATGGATATAAGATAAAACCCCAAATACCAATAAATGGATGGCTAACCAACGTCTTGATTTGTCTCTTACCATCAGTAAAACAGGCCTCTGGCTCATCTGAATTTACAGGTTCAGCCTCCGCTTCTTCTCCTTCTCCTGGCAGAGGGTTATCAACTGTGCTGCACTCAGAGGAACTTGACTGGTTCAGTCTCTAAAAAGAAATTCACCACCCCACCAGACAGTTCATTTAGGGGTCATACAAATCTTATATTCAAGCCATATTTAATAATCAAAGTCATGCAAAGTGTTGTGAAAAAAGATTAACAGTATGATGGCCATAAAAACGTATAAACACATATTGAGGTCAGGTAACCTTATAATACATCTATGCTTGATCTTTCTATCTACACATCCTGTGAAAAATAAATTTTATTATATTTAGTATGCTGACAAGTATTTGGACAGAATTAGCACAAGGAAATTTTTGTAAACTATAATATTTGCAAAGTATTGGCCACATTTTTATTCTTTTATGTTTAATATAAATTTGTGTACACCAATAATTATTATATTCAGACAACCAAGACCCTAGTAGAAATAATACAAGTGCCAAACTGCCAATGCCTGATAACTGAAAGATCATATCTGACAGTTGACAGAAAAGCTTGTTGATATTTAAAATTTTAAAAAAAGAAAGAGATTAGTGTAAAATGAAATCCAAACATATTTTTTCTATTATCTCTTGGATTTAAGAATATGTACCAGGATGATATAGATAGAAGGCTTTTGATCAAGACCAAAGAAAGTCAAATATTATATTGGAATCAGAATGCCAAAGACAATAGTAAGTATTTCATCCCACACCACCCATTTTAGTATAAAATTTCAGGATACAGTTGAAAAGATCATAAAGTATTATCTATACTGTCAAAAAACAGTGGCTACTAAAGTGAGCACCACATGCAAACGCTGAAACAAATATTCAATGAAATTAAACATGGCAGACTCACACATGACAGGAATGAATTCATTGTCATTATGATCACATAATTGATCATAACACAAGTTTTTCCCGCCCAGAAATTTATGATCAAACATGATGTTTACAAACATACACATACACAGAAATTTTTAGAAAAAATACATACAGCAATTGTAGCAAAACTCTGTCAATTTTTCCTAATATTGCTTTATAAGGGGTAGAGCAGCACATCAATGGAAGAGTTCATTTTCATTCTCATTTGCTAAACGACATGTGAATATTGAAACTAGTAGTTATTACAGCACATGCTTCCCTTATTAAGATTACAGCTTTACTATTTTTTTAGAATAGTCCCACAAATACAAGTGTTAAAAGTAAGGAAATACTCATTTCCATTAAACTGATAACTTAATCTATTAATTTGCATTAATATCACTGGCCTAATCTGAAATTAATTTTTAGAAATTTACTGGGAAGCTTAAAGTATTCGTTATGAGTACATTCTCAGTGCTCTTATTATCACACATTATTCAACATTAGTAAAAAAGACATCGATACATTATTGTACATAAGGAATGATGTAAGTAAAGTTCTTTATAAAGACAGTAAAGAATTATGAATACTTTAATACTTATAATCTATTGCCGTCAGGGCATTACTCCTACCAGGTCAAAGAGTTTTATAATAGTATCAGTTCCAAACAGTATCATTATGAAATCTCATTTAAAAAGCAGACTTATATGGATTGAATTCATCTAAAATGACTTTAAAATAAACAATTAAATTAAATTAAAAAAAAAAAAGACTACATCGCTTTAGGTTAAATACTGTAATTTTGACCTTGCAGTACAATAAAACTTTCTTATCTAAAAAAAAAAATTAAAAAATAGAAAAATAAAGAAAATAGAAATTAATTATAAGTCTGAATATATTTAAGGTTTTAAAATATACATTACTCCAAGAAACAATGGGGAAATGTATAATTACTAATGCAGTCTATTGTGCCAATTACTACAAAAACTAATTTTGAGTATGATATCTAAAAAACTAGAATTATTTGATGCCCTCAATTCTTGGCTTCTCAGCTCAATGTGGACTATCACCAGGGAATTGAAAGAAAAGGTACTATGATTCTGTGGTGATGACACCAAGTCCTTCAAATGTGAAAAATGGATTATTGCCCTGGGTTTTGAGGCAAAGCAGTGGGAGAAACAGCTGACAGAAAGAACGCAAAGCACTTTCCTGCTCCTAGCCAAAATACTGACAACTAGCAAATAGTCCTCGTGGTTTTCTAAGGTGGCCACAATTTTTAGATAAAATTATTCTAATCTGCAAAATGCCAACTTGGGCCAAATTAATGAAAACGTCTTCAACTTCAGTATTTGGTTTTCTCACTGATCATTAACAAAGATATGCTAAGTTAATTCACAAGCAAATAAAATTAAGATGATTTTACAAAGTGTCTTTTGTCATTCTGAAACCTTCTATTTTCATAGCTTTTATGGCAATTTTTTGTCAATTAAATTCAAAGTTTGGCTCAAATTTTATATCATAAATAACACTTATTCAAGATTATTCCTCATCAGAACAGACATTACAAAAATATTTTATATGAATGATAGTTTTATCATACGCCAAATTGCTATGGCCTTTTAGAAATTCAAGTTTAAAATGTTTTTAGGAATTCCATGTTTTCCTGGGAATGAATGAAGTAGTCACAAACTAGTTATTTTTGTACTGTATATATTAAACATTTATGCATTTATGTGCATGCCATAGTGATGTAGACAGTTTAATTCTAATCTTGTCAGCCTTTAAATTTAGTATTTACTAAAGTGGAAGTTTTTTAAACAAGATCCAAAAGGATGCCTTTAAGTAGAAAGGCTAACATCTATAATAAAAACTTTCTCTTAAAGGGTAATGCATTTTATTCTCATAGCAGGTGCAGCTATATTTAACTATTGCATTTTCTTATTTTCTAGTTTAGTACACAGAGAAGATCATGTCAATCATTAGAATCATTTTACATAATTATATTATTATTTTCATATCTATAAACTCAGTCATTTGTAATTTAGTTTCCTTTCTTGTAATTTTGGAAATTGACGAATTATTATAGTTTGCTAAAACCAGTAAAATAAATACTTTAGTATAAAAAATTTCCCTTTCAATATTACAAATATGCTATTTTATAATTTTTGCATGGATTTTATTTTTAATAAAAAGTGAAATATACCTTTTGTCTCTTACTTTTTTGCATGGCAGCAAAGACAAGTTTTTTTTACCTTTGACAGCCTACATAAACAGGCTATAAACACAATATAATAGATGTAAACTCATTAGCATTAAGAACAGGAATATGCTATACACAGCATTCCTACCTTTTTATTGAATAATGTGGTATTGCCTGTAGGTACTTTTTAAAATTTTGTCTTTCTTTGCTTTAGGTAAACTCTATATACTTAATTTAAAAATTTTAAATGTATAAATAATATATGGTAAAAAAATGTCCTTTCCACTCACTCCCTGATTCTATCAACTTGAAACACCTAGTATATACACAGTGTGTATGTGTGTGTGTATACACACACACACACACACACTCACACACACATATTTATCTTTCCATACTCTTCACCGTGCATCCATAAAACACAGAAGTAATTTGGAACATTCTAATCTTGCTTATAAACAACAGCTATCTAAGAAACCCCTTTCAATGACTGAAAACATCAGATTAAGATGGTGGAGTAGTAGGACCTTAATGTTTGCCTTGTCCCTTGAACACAGCTAGATAAGTATCAAATCATTCTGAACACCCAGGAAATTGCTATGAGGATTGAGAGAACAAACTGCACAACTAAGAGGAGACCACAACATGGAAGGTGGGAGGTGTGGAGATGTGATTTGGGGAAGAGAAGGGGGAGGGAGTCATGATCACATAAAGTGGACAGAAAAAAAGACAGAGGGAGAGAGAGAGAGCAGCACAAAGGGGACCATACAAGAAAAATGCTTCCCCAAAATCAGTGACTGGGAAAACAAGAAGGCTTGTTTATTGTAAGTTTTTTTGGCCAGTGGAGCTCAAAAACTAGAGTTTTAGAAGTCTGCACTGTGGTCAGTATGGAGTCTGGTGGGCACAGCAGTGCTCCTGTGGTGAAGGAGGAAAGGAGCCTGGGAGCACAGGGTGTGATGTGAGGATCCCCTGGGATGCACTAAAAGAGACAGTTTGCCCTGCTTAGGGTGTATCTGGGAAAGGTGGCATTACCTCTCAGGGGAAAAAAGAGCCTGTGGGTGTCACTGTGCTCCCATTCCTTAGTATAGGGGCAGAGACACCTGCTGAGGGTAGCTAACCTGGAGGCTGGCTTATTGCTTTGCTTTACTCTAAACTCCAGTCTCCTGTGTGTTACTACAACCACCCCTCTGAGACAAACTGGCACGAGCCTCAGTACGGCAAGACCCTTCGCCAGAGGACCTGTGCAGATCTGTGCAGACCAGTGCAGGTCCCTAAAGTTTGGAGTTTTGAAACTCAGCCAACATAAAACACAGATGCACTGCATTGCTGGGAGGAAAGGCAGCATGGATACAGACAGGGTGAAGCACAGGGAACTGAGGGAAGTCTAGGACACATGAGGGGAGATTGTTCACTCTTCTGTGAGGGCTTCATAGACAGCGGTGGGCATGAACTCCCCTCTGCATGATGAGGGAGAGTGTTGGTACCATTTTTCATCCCTGCCCATCAGTATGCACTGACTTCAGTGAGCATAACAGCACCACAGTGGAGGCCTGAACCACTTACATCAACCTCTGCTTCCCTCCATTCTGCAGGTGCTTCTTTACTAGGGTTAAGTGTATCTGAGAACCAGAGAAGCAGGTCCCTCTTCCAGAAGACCAGCACAAACCCCTGCATGCACCAAGTCTATTGACCATAGAGTGCTGCAAAACTTTGGCTCTAGTGGAAAGAGGATCTGGCTTCTTTTTTAATCCTTTTTTTTTTCTTTTTAAAGTTTTTATTTATTAGAGATCACAAGTAGGCCCAGTGGCAGGTTGGGGGTGGGGAGCAGGCTCTCTGCAGAGCAGAGAGCCAGATGCAGGGCTCGATCCCAGGACCTTGAGATCATGACCTGAGCCAAAGACAGAGGCTTAACCCACTGAGCCACCCGGGTGCCCTGGATCTGGCCTATTTTAACAAGCAGACCAAAGCACACCAATTTAAAACTCACCACACACTG